ACGGCGTTCATCCGATCGACATCAAACTTTGGGGAGTTGATTAGAACACTCCAGGGAAGGGTTCTGTTAAGAAATCATTTTTAATTTCGCAAAGGCGGCGCCACAAGAGGGCGCAATTTGTTTTTTCTCTATATATGGTATATAAAAATAAAAGTCGATTTTGGTTTTCATCGTTCATCCGATAGCCATGAGACTTTGGGGGAGTTGATTAGAACAATTCAGGAAGGGTTCTGTATAAAAAAAAATCCTTTTTTAATTTCGCAAGGGCGACGCCACGGGAGGCTGCGATTTGCGATTTTTCTCTATATACGGTTTATAAAAATAAAAGTCTATTTTGGTTTCACACCATTCATCCGTGTACCATGAAACTTTGCGGAGATGGTAGGGTTCTGCAAAAAAAAAATTAATATTGCAAGGGCGGCGCCCCGGGGGGGGGGGGGGGGGGGGCGATTTTTTTCTCTATACACGGTATATAAAAAATAAAACTCGGATGCGGTTCATCCGAGTGCCATGAAACTTTAGGGAGTAGATGAGAATACTCCCGAGAATATTTCTGCGAAAAAGAAAACTAATATATATATATATATATATATATATATATATATATATATATATATATATATATATATATATATATATATATATATATATATATATATATATGTATATTAAACAAAATACGAACATAGAATAGGTTACTTATTTCGGGCTTGTTCGAGTTTTAAACTTCTTAGTTGTTTTTTTTTTAAGTTACAACAACACATTATTTGTGTGACCGCTAATTAGTCTGTTTTTAAAAGTCTGTGTCTATGTCTGCTTTAAAGCTACCTAATCGCAAGTCGATCAAAAGAATATGAAGCATGAAAGCTTTGTATGTGAAATGGCTTCTCGCGTTATGTTTTTTAAATGTTTTTTCGTTTTTATATTATTAGTTTTAAATACATTTTATTTCTATACTTTGACATTCTTTATTATGTGTTTCAAAAAAATAATTAAGAGAAATAAATGCTTTTCAATTTGTTTATTGGAAATCTATTAACTAAAAATAACAGGGGATGGGAACTCGGGCTATAGACATGATTTTTAATCCATTTTAAATACTTAAAGTTTTAAAAATAGAATAAAATCTCGTAGACAAATTAATTGCACACCAAGTGAACGCCAAATAAAAAAGCGCATAATAGTGCGCAATATTATTAGTACTTTTAAAATTTACATTAGTTTTTTGAGAAATCGGAAGTAGCGTAAAGTACTACTTCCAGTCAACGGAAATTACTCAAAATTTATCAGAAAGTAGAGATTTAGATCTTTTACTTACATGTGAAATTTCATTTATCTATCTGAAATAGTACTCAAGTTATAGGCTTTTGAAAAAGTCAAAGTAGGAAAAGTACCACTTCCGGTTATCGGAAATCGCTCAAAAGATGATACGGATCTACGATTTTGATAAAATACTTATATATGAAATTTGATCAACCTAGCTGTAACGGTACTCAAGTTATCGTGTTTACACACGGACAGACAGACAGACAGACAGACAGACAGACATACGGACAAGATTGCAAAATTATGTTTTTCCGTATCAGTGAGGTGTAAAACGTCGAGATTTGTAAAAATCTCGATTTTTTTTTTGCACGATTACAAGACTTTCTCTATACTTCGTATATACGAGAAAGTAAAAAATGATCTGGTGACTTCCTGGATGGATGTAATTAGATTTTAAAAACTTATTTCCTTTAGTTTTAATTAACAATGTAGGAAGCTAAGAAACACGTCGCTAATAATCATCGGGTATTAACTATTTCACAAAATGTAGTTCAAACACATTTATTTCATCAGAGGTTACAAATAATGGCAATTAATATTAACTTGGAATGTTATTCTTAACGCATGCATATACTTTGTAATCAATATTAAGTTGGTGACAGGTTGTATCTTAATTACTGCATTATATTTGCATAACTATAATTAGCGCTTCATTGACAAGGATAATATAACTTGTATTCGACTATACATTTTTTAAATAAGGGAGCGAATCAAATAAATATGACAGAAATAAGTTTGTGTTTTTTTATCTCCCTTTTAATGCGCCGAAACCTTGAAAAGTATATCTTATCGTATTTAATTTTGTTTTATTCACATCAGTTATACAGTTTCGATACATAATTTTAGTAACATGTCTGTATTATTAGGTAATACGTCTATAATATATACGGAGATTGATTCAAGGGAGATCATCAACGATAAGTTGTGTCGACTCACCATATCCCTGTTTTAAATTTATTTTCGTACATTATTTTCACAATAATTGCTGTCTGATATACGCCTATCACTCGAAGCAAAAAAAAAAGTTGCTAAAGATGGCAAATAAAAGTTAACAAACTAAAGCTAAATGTTTAAATTATAAAAATTATCTGATACTTTACTGATAGCGCAATAGAAACACCACTAGTTACAACGAAGATAATCGCAAGTTTGAAACGTCCTCGACACTTATGTACTTTGGTATACATCAGTACGTTTTTTCATAGTGTTGACGATTTAAAATATTCTAGTGGCCCTACTTCAGGGGTCTCCAAACTTTTCAGTCCGAGGGCCGCATTAACTATCAAATTTCAGTTTGGGGGCCAGTTTCTTCCAGGCTTGTCTTTTATTTTTCTGGACAAAGTTCCTCAGCCATCACCAACAAACGTTTTTTCCGTCGACCATAAGATCTCCGCGGGCCGGATGAGAGGTCATCGTGCTAATTATTTGCATGTGTAATACGTGTTTGTCGTATGATGTGTTGTGTTTCTCATAAAATATATGCAGCACAAAATGTGGATACACACGACTTTCGAGAGAGATTCATTGTAAATTAAAAGATCTTTTTTCCCTTACATTATGTAAGTTAATTAACGGGGCTTTAAGAACTGGCACATTGTAAATTTAAACATCCGAAATTACATGTTTACATTTTACCCAATTTTGTTTTTACCATTATATGATTTATGTTTTTTTTTTAATTGCGAGCCGGCCCGCGGCATAACATACGCCGCTATTTAGTTGTTGTTTTTTCTACTTTTCAGTAAATCATAACACTGAAAATATTTCTTTAAAACACTATAAGTAGCTCGTTAAGGACCATAACCCCCCCCCCTTCCTCCCCCCCCCCCCCCCCCCCAACGTTTTAAATCGTTTCAAACTAAATTATCTGCCCCTAATAGCCGTCACTAAACCCGACTCCACGACGGTAAACATAGCGTGAACCACAGCTCACTAAGACCATATAGGGGCGGGGATGGTAGGGAGCGCATTTACAGCTTGTTTTCTAGCGTCTCCCAGAAGAGAATTATATATATATATATAGATTATAATTATTTTATTACTTTTATGTTGTTTATTTTTTTAGTTTCTTTTTGATGGTTTGTTAAAGACACAAATTAAGTAAGATCTTCTTTATAACCTCAACAAGTTTGAATAATAAAATACTTAAAAAAAACTTTTTAAAAAAACCACGTTTTTCTTGTGGACTAAAAAGTAGAAAATAAATTTTCATACATTTGATGACAAAAAACGTGGGTACGTTCACCATCAAATTTCCCGACCCATCTGCCCGACCCACGTTTTTTGTCATCAAATGTATGAAAATTTATTTTCTACTTTTTAGTCCACAAGAAAAACGTGGTTTTTTTAAAAAGTTTTTTTTAAGTATTTTATTTTCTCCTTTTTAGTCCGTTGCTACACATGAAAAACGTGGTTTTTAAAAAGTTTTTTATATAGTTTATTTTCTACTTTATCTAATCACTTGATTAAGTATGACTTGACTAAGTGTTTTTAAATACACGGACTAAAAAAATCTTGAGCGACCGATACGCTTTAAACAGAGAAAGGGTGTAATTTACGTTGCTGGCGTGGAGATCTACTCACGAATCACGTGATCAAATCTCCCATAAACAAACAAATAAACGCGAAGCTGAGTTAAGGAAAAACGTGTTTATGTGTATTTTAGCATGCCCAGCCTACCAACCGTGTCACCGTTAACAATGTGTTACCGTGTCCGTTCTCCTTTTTAGTCCGTTGCTACACATAAAAAACGTGGTTTTTTAAAAAGTGTTTATAAATACACGGACTAAAAATCTTGAGCGACCAGGATTCGAACCTGGGTTGTCGCGGCCACAACGCGAAGTACTAACCACTATACGATCACGGCCAGCGCGCTCACATCGATTGGGGCCGAAGTAACTGTGTCAATAGGCCTCAAGTCTTGTCGGTATCTTTAGAAATCATGTCCTCAATTTTATGGTCCTTGGGGCGTAATTAAATTAAGCTAATTACGGTCACTAATTGCTAGTTTTTATGATTGCATCTGAAATTGTTAGGCGAAAGTAGCGTGTATGCCAAATTTCAGATCTCTAGAGCAATCAGAAGTGGGCTAATATTCGATGTCAATTTTAACAACAAACAAACAAATCCACAAACGCGAAGCTGAGTTAAGAAAAACGTGTTAAAATATACAAACATGTTCATGTTGCTAAAAAATGTAATTATAGAATGAAGTTGATAGATATTCAACAAAACATGCCGTGACAATATGTTGCGTAGTTAAAAATATGTAATTCAACATTTGTTTCCTCGAAAACATGCATCTGAATTCTAGGTGAGTAGCAGATGACTCACTCATCGTCAATCGTTAAAATGCGTCACTGGATGGATGAAGGGGGCAACTTTAAACTTCCGAGGGACACTTAAATTTCAAAGGGGTAGCGGGGGGGGGGGGGTCGTACACTTGTTTAAGTAAATCGTTTTTTTATAAATATTTTTTTGCTTTTTCTTCCAGCAATGCCCCCCCCCCCCCCCCCCCAATACAGTAATTAATTCCAGAAACTGCGTGAAAAACACAGCCTATTAATTTATCTAAATTGTATTTATGAGGATATTTTACTAGACAGCTACACCTGTCACAGTTATCAACTATGTTCAGACAGATATTATAAAAATAATAGAAACAAAAACACATCTCAGCTTGACTTCTTTATTTGGTGTGTTGATCACATGTCAGGTTCCTCAACCCGTGGGACACTTCACTGTTGGCTGACAGCAGTCAGGGTAGTAGCCCTTGTTGTCGTATGTCACAGTACAAGTTGCAGGGTAAGTAGGCGGTTGGCAACTATACGGGTTAAAGTATTATTGAAAACAAATTTGAATACAATTGTTTAAATATATATATATATATATATATATATATATATATATATATATATATATATATATATATATATATAATTTTTTTAATTTATTTATTTATATAGGGCCTATATATTTATGCTAAAGAATTATCAAAATGGATACTAAAAAAATCAGAATTGTAACCTCTGAGAAAAAAGAATCAGAACTTTGTCTGCATCATATATTAGGATGTGTATAAACTTGAATATGGACTAACTTAACATCTAAGATAAGAAGATAGGCTAACTTACATGCGACATTTAAATATGGGCTAATCTATGGCTAAGACTATCATATAGGCTAACTTGCTGTATGACTAAAAGGTTGACTAACTTACCTGTAAGATTAGAAGGTTGACTAACTTACCTGTAAGACTAGAAGTTTAGCAAAGTTACCTGTTAGATTAGAAGGTGGGCTAACATACCTGTAAGACTAAAAGGTTGACTAACTTACCTGTAAGACTAAAAGGTTGACTAACTTACCTGTAAGACTAAAAGGTTGAATCACTTACCTGTAAGACTAGAAGTTTAGCAAAGTTACCTGTTAGATTAGAAGGTGGGCTAACATACCTGTAAGACTAAAAGGTTGACTAACTTACCTGTAAGACTAAAAGGTTGACTAACTTACCTGTAAGACTAAAAGGTTGACTAACTTACCTGTAAGACTAAAAGGTTGACTAACTTACCTGTAAGACTAAAAGGTTGACTAACTTACCTGTAAGACTAAAAGGTTGACTAACTTACATATGTAAGACTAGAAGTTTAGCTAACTTACCTGTAAGATTAGAGGGTGGGCTAACTTCCCTGTAAGACTAGATGTTGGGCTAACTTACCTGTAAGACTAGAAGTTGGGCTAACTTACCTGTAAGACTAAATTTTGGGCTAACTTACCTGTAAAATTAGCAGTTGGGCTAACTTACCTGTAAGACTAGATGTTGGGCTAACTTACCTGTAAAATTAGCAGTTGGGCTAACTTACCTGTAAGACTAAATTTTGGGTTCACCTACCTGTAAGACTAAATGTTGGGGCTAACTTACCTGTAGCAGTTGTAGCCATCTCGGATACACTGACATTTCCTACAGCCCGGCTGGTACCACACGCTCCCCATTTTTCCTCCATTAGGACACGGACCTGTCATGGTCGCAACAAATTTTAAATTTTAGGCGAAGTGGGAATTTCAGACGGATAAAATATTCAGTAGTCTTTTTATTTAGGTTTTTTTTACATGTTTATAAGCAATACATCTATTAGTAAATAAAGATCAATGTTTTGTCTTATTTGAACATTGTATGTTGTATGGTGAGATTTGCTGAGGACTTGGTACATTTTATTTTCAATGGCTAAAGCCAAAGTCCCAGCGTTGATACGTGAATTAAAGATACAGTCCTTTTCTTGTTTGTTTTTTTTTAATTAAAAAAAATAACAATTTAGAATTTGTTTATTAATGAATTTTATTAACATTGAGATCCAGCTTGATTCTTAAGAAGCTAAACATTTTCATCTACCAGGACTAAATAAGAGGTATTTACGTATTTCTTTTTACTATAAATATTTTTAAAATGTCATATTTAGTATATAACAAATATCACTTCTCACAAAAAAAACTAATTTTCAAAGTGTTCAACGTTTAATACAAAATAATATATGTCAGTAAAAAGATGTTCGTCTAATACGTAAATAAACTGTCGTTCCATTAGTTTTATTTACGTCCAAACGATTTCAATAATATATACAAAAAATCAGTTAAGCGTTACAACCAAATCTATAAACAATACATTAAACAACTAAGATTTGAAAACAAACTCCTACATTTGACTACACCAAAAACTTACCCATAACGTAGGTCACCTTTTGGGCCACGGTCAGTGTGACCCAGACAACGGACAGAAGACAGACAAGAACTAGAGTTTTCATGTTGATAAAATACTTGTACCTGTTAGCTGGCACAAACTCTGGTGTCCAGTCCAAGTAAACACCAGTTATATACGGAAAATGGCGTTCTACAACATCTGGTAATATCAAATTGCATTATTTAAATTCTATGAAACATTAACGTTTTGAATCACAAACAAAAAGTGCAAAAATATCCAGATAATAGAGAATTTTAAAAATTCTTTTCAAACTCCATGCAGGTGATGGTAATTTTAATAAAATTATTATTTACCAACTTGAGTTTATTTTTAAAGATGACGAAGAACAGGTGTCACTTTATCGTGGCAGTCTTGATATAATAGAGTTTAAATGTGTGGGCGTTTGTCCATTGATGTGAAGGCAGTCAGCACTATGGCTGTGAGAGGGACAACCAGCATTATGGCTGTGAGATGCACAGTCAACACAATAGCTATAAGACTGACAGAAAAGGCCAGCACTATAGCTGCGAAAAGGACAGTCAAAACTATAACAGTGAGAGAGACAGCAAGGACTGTAACTGTGAGAAGAACAGCTAGCACTATATCTGTGACAGAGACAACTCAACAGCATGGATAGAAACATTAGTATAGCTGTAAGATGGACAGTCAGCACTATAGCGGTGAGATGAACATCAAAGCACTATAGCTGTGAGAAGAGACAGCCAGCACTATAGCTATGAGAGGAGACAGTCAGTATTATAGCTGTGAGAGGAGACAGCCAACAAAATAGCTGTGAGAGGAGACAGCCAACAAAATAGCCGTGAGAGGAGACAGCCAACACTATAGCTGTGAGAGGCGACAGTCAACACTATAGCTGTGAGAGGAGACAGCCAACAAAATAGCCGTGAGAGGAGACAGCTAACACTATAGCTGTGAGAGGAGACAGCCAACAAAATAGCCGTGAGAGGAGACAGCCAGTACTATAGCTGTGAGAGGAGACAGCTAACACTATAGCAGTGAGAGGAGACAGCTAACACTATAGCAGTGAGAGGAGACAGACTACACTATAGCTGTGAGAGGAGACAGCCAACACTATAGCTGTGAGAGGAGACAGCCAACACTAAAGCTATGAGAGGAGCTAACACTGTAGCCGTGAAAGCGAGTGCTAGACAGCTGTCGTCACAGCCTTGAATAGACATTCAAATATTATTTTTAAAAGTGCTTTATTCTAATCTATTCCATCTGTTTACATTTACATTTTAACTTTCGAATTTTCCTAGTCATCGCTCTAGACATAACTGCTTTCCTTACTATGGGCCTATTTGTGCAAGTAATTATTCACCTTTACAATGAGAAATTAACAATAAAGTATTTTAATACATGGTAGTTGTTACTCAGTGTTTCAATCATTAGCTTTGAAATAATTGTGACGTGGATGTATTTTTTCGGGCTGAAGGTAGATAATGACGGAGACGATTAATTGATGGAGTAGTGGCAGATATGAGTACAAATGGGTTAGATGATATTTGCTCACTGTGCTAGAATATATATATATATATATATATATATATATATATATATATATATATATATATATATATATATATATATATATATATAAATTGATGGATGTATAGATATGGAACACTATTTTTTATCACCACCCTCCATGGCAAATTCCTAGCGTCATTATCTGCTACCCTATGCGTGTTATACTTAAAATATAAAACAAAACAACTGTTGCGGAACGTTACATTACGCGATGCATCAGTTGTGTCTGTTAGTCTTGAAATCCCAGTGTCTCGTTAACACCAGTGAGTAAATGTAAGAGCGAGAATGTTTCATGGGAGCAGGTTTGTTTGTGTTTTTGTTGTTATAGTAGAATATGAGAGGATTCATACATTTATAATAGGCTTGAAAAGTTTATGTAATCGTACTAGTTTTTTTTTAATCTTTAAAAACATATGGCAAGTGATACAATTATGGCTAATTTTTAAGAGTTAAATCTTTTTGGGATTGGGGAACCGTGGATTACACTCATTTTCATATTCTTGTATTAGAATATAAGCCGTTGAAAAGCCGTTTGAATTATTTTATCAATTCAAATATTTTAAAAAAATATTCTCAACCCTTCTTTGAAGTTAACCGGAGTGGCAAGGGAAAGTAAAACAATGAAAGTCAAAACAAATTGTTTTCCATAATAAAATACACAATAGTGGTCAATGGTGCATAGCCTAGTAGTTTATTTATATTAAATAATATAACATCCCTATCACCACAACTTAACACCCTGACTCCACGAATCCAAATTAAAAAGAAAAATGTTAGCTAAATTACTATTAGATTACTAGTAATTATTTGTTTAAATATGTCTTGCCTTGCAAAACCGGAAGTCATTGTGTTGGCCTACTCATTTCACAAATGTTTTAAAATATACAATTTCGGTTGAAAAAAATATGCTTTCAGACAACAATCATTTGGAACCAGCTTTTCAAGCCTATTGTTTTATTTCCAGCGATATATCATAAAAATATCAAACTCACAGAACATCATACGTCTACCATTAGTCACCCCCTAATATAGATCAATAAACGTGGCTTTGTGCCATGACATTGACTTGCAGTATGACACGAGAAAACAAAGTACATTTTTAAGGTGCCTTAAATCGATACATTAAATTGATCGATAAGATGTCAGTTCCTTATTATTTTAATAAGCACAAACACGATCTCATAGCTAAGCTACAATTAGTCTTAGTGTCGTGTTGGGTTACCTGGGGTTACGATAATTAAGCAGTAATTAATGTACGCTAAGACATGTTTAATTAATGAAATATAAATTGGCATAAAATTACCGATTATATTTACATTTTGTACGTGATATAGACAACATACTGTTTGTTTAATTATGTAATTAAAAATGATCTGGTGACTTCCTGGATGGATGTAATTAGATTTTAAAAACTAATTTCCCTCATTTTTAATTAACAATGTATGAAGCTAAGAAACACGTCGCTAATAATCATCGGGTATTAAATATTTCACAGAATGTAGTTCAAACACATTTATTTCATCGAAGTTAACAAATTATGGGAATCAATATTAACTTGGAATGTTATTCTTAATGTATGCATATATTTTGTAATCAATAATTAACTGCAGATTAAGTTGGTGACAGGTTGTATCTTAATTACTGCATTATATATGAATAACTACAATTAGCTCCTTATTGACTAAGATATATCTTGTATTCGACACTGCATTGCGAATAAGGGAGCAAATCAAATAAATGTGACAGAAATCAGTTATTGTTTTAATATCTCCTCTTTGTAATGCCCCGACAACTTGAAAGTACATCTTATCGTATTTAATTTTGTTTTATTCACATCAGTTATACAGTTTTAAAATAGAGTTTTAGTAACATGTCTGTACCATTAGGTAATACGTCTATAATATATACGGAGATCGATTCAGGGGAGATCATCAGCGATGAGGTGGGTCAGCTCACCATGAGAATCCTCATGTATCTCATCACCCCCGCCATCTCAGCGTTCGGCGTCCTTGGCAACATGGTCAGCATACCCGTGCTGGTCAAACACGGGGTACACAAATCCTCCAACATTCTCCTCATCAACCTCGCCATCACCAACACCGTCTACCTCATCGCTTTCAACAGCGTGCCGAAAATTTTATACGAAGCCGTTCAAGACCATCAGTTCGTTGGAGTTTCGGAAAGTGAGGCGCGGGTTTTGTTTGTTTTCTTCAGCGTCTTCACATTCTTCGACTACTCCTTTGGTTTGATGGCGTTATCTTTACCCATGCTGATCACACTTGAGCGCCTGTTCGCTGTGTTTTGTCCAATGTCTTTTCACCGTATCATAACATCAAGCAGAACGTGGATTGTTGTTGTGATAGTAGCAGTGTACTGGATCTCCATTTTCGTTTATTCAAGCTTCTGGCTAGAACTGAAGTACGTCATCACCCCACAGACAAACACAACCTCCTATCGTATTGTTAACTCTCAAACATTTGAAGAAAACCCCGAAGCAGTCGTAGCAGTAGAGAATTTGTTTATCTACACCAGTTCAATCATCCCACCAATTTTCACCGCCACTGGCTGCGTTGCCATTTCCTTAAAATTAAAATCGGTAACCCACAAACGTAAGGCTATGACGTCCAACTCTAAAGCCAGCAGTCGGACGACGAAGACCCTTCTAGCCGTGTGTTTTCTCTATGTCGTCACGTCCGCCGTGACGTCAGTCCCAATGTTCATACCGCAGTACGCGTCATACTCTCTAACAGACGAGGCCCCCACAAACCTCTCCAAGATTCTCTACCAGCTTCTCAACATCATAGGCTGCATCAACAGTTCCAGTGATTTTCTTGTATATATCGTTTTCAATAAGAAATTTAGGCATATTTTGCTTGCTTTGATGAAGGGACCCTCTGCCATTTCTCCGAAGTGAAATATTTACGACGTGTTTACTAAACACAAAGACGTTCTTCACTATGTTCATAAGACCTAACATCCTTTTTCGTTTTTTTATGAATCTGTTTATTTGTGTTTAGTCAGGAAATGAAAATAATAACAAATATTTAATTAAAATCAAATGCTTATGAAGTTGGGTAGCTAAAAATGCATTGAATATATATAAATGCATATATATATATATATATATATATATATATATATATATATATATATATATATATATATATATATATATATATATATATATATATATATATATATATATATGGCATACAACTGATCACATTGTCCATTCACAGAAACAAGTGAACTTAACCTAGTCTGTTTTTTTAAAGTTTTACCAGCAAAGAGGCCAGTGAATGTATTTAATCAGCTCAACTATGTTTTTAATGAAGCGGTAGACAACTCGCATGTTAGAATTCTATAAAATATAAAGTTTTAGAATACTATGCTTAATTTGAAAACACATTGGATAAATGACATCATAGTTTTTTAAATTGTAATAATTTTCTTCTGCCATGATTGATCCAGTATTGTAGATAGATTAATCAGTTATGTTTATTTGAATAAAAATGGTGTTAGAGATAAAAGGATTAAGATAATAAAAAAATACATAACACAAAAAAACCTCATACAATCATATACCCAAATCTTAAAAACATATTAAAAAAACATATTTCACTAAATCCATTCGATTATTTATTTTAAGCAACCAAAGTCAAAACAGGGTTTATGAGAATGAACACAAGTACACAGTAAACGATTTTAAAAATACTTTTTTTATACCTCAGTGTTTAACGTCTGTGATCGACTTCGGTAAACGCCTGCTGCACTTGCTGGCAGCTAATGGAATACACTTCATTTCTCTGTTGTCTGGGGTTAAAGGTTACGGGCTATGCCTTAATCTATGTCGTAAGATAATTTTTTATCTATTAGCTTACACTGAACTTAAACATCTTGAACTCAACTCAAAAGATAGCATTTTAAAATGTTCGTTTTCATGTATAGTCAACCCAGATGCGAAAGTTCGTTTTGTTTTGTTAAAAACATAATGGAGGATTTTCTAGTTAAAGATAACAAAGATGGAGGATGAAAATGGATTTTGAAACAACTCAAACTCATGACGTGATGTTACCCGGGGCTATAAAAAAACTTAGAGCAGTGATGAACTGAATGCATTAGATAACAGTTCATGTGCTTCATTGTGAAGTAGTAGACATCTTATTCATTGTTCAGTCTTCATCAAGCTTCTGTGAGCAGCGACAATACAGTGTAGTGTTGTAGGTGTATATGTGCGCTGAGTATGCGCCTATATGCTGCATATAAGTGATGAACCAACCAGTGTATAACAAAACTACTGTTCACGTATTCATCGTACTGAAAAGCTTTTCACTTAAGTATGTGTATACAGATCTATGTTTACATACATATACATATATACATATCTATAGTTATAATTTATAATTATTTTTATCTAACAGTATTTTCAGTGCTTACGTGAAGAAAAAAGACAACTAAAATATACTCAATAACATTAATAAAGTGGCTTTCGGTCAATTTTGGTATCTATATTTTTAAAACAGATGTTAGATTAAAACCTACTTTTAATAAAAAGTTAAGACCAACACTGTTTCTTTATTTAAGTTGGGAATTAACACATACTTAATAAATGATATTGTAGTTTACCCTTTAAAAGAAAAATCAAATGTTGTTGTAAAGGTGGCTCGTGTCAATAATTTTGTAAAACCCAACTACAACTAAACTTTTGTATATCCGAGTTCAGTTTTTAAAAAAACCCACTTAAAAATGGCAAGGAACTCAACAGTGGACATTCTGCCAGTAGACGACGACTACTTGGTATCCTACGGCGATGTCGACGTATACACAGACCTGATGTTTAATCTGATCCTCATCCCACTGTTCATCCTGCTGGGTATTGTGGGTAACATCATCAACATCACCGTACTCTACCACCAGGGATTGAAAGAAACATCTACCATCCTCCTGTTCTCACTGTCCGTGTCGGATTTCTTCTTCTGCCTGACACAGATCTCCCATCCAATCAACTTAATCTCGCGATGGACGATGGGGATCAAATCAAACAACGTCACTTCCGTGTTGAATGTTTACATCCTGATATTCAGGTTTGTGTTTTTGAGCGCCAGTATCTGGCACGTGACGGCCATCTCCGTGGAGAGATGCGTGGCCGTGTGTTTTCCCTTTCACGTGAACAGGGTCTTCACTACAAAACGTGTCAAAATATTATCGGTTACTTTGTACGTGTTCAGCCTCGCAGTTCTCTCTCCCAACTTCTACTGCTATATTATTATAGAAATACCTTTCCACAACGGTACGCTGTCTGTTATTACCATACAAGACCAGTGTCTGCAGTCGTTCTTTAACGTTATAACATACAACTACATCTTCTTCAACAACCTATGTACAGTCGTGCCCCCGATTATCATTTTCTCCTGTTCCGTTATAATTGGCGCCACATTGATTACCAGACGAAACCAGTTCCTCCATGGGAGAATGGCGTCCAGGCAGACGAGAGAAGCCAGGGTCATCAAAATGTTGCTGACGCTGTGTGTGCTGTACCTGGTGATGTGTGTCCCCACGGCCGTGCTGGATTTCTACGCGATAACGGTGGACGAGTCGGCCTGGTTTCGAACTCTGAAAGATGCGGTCAATGAATTTCTGTATCAGCTGGGGGCATCGTATAACTTTATCATTTACCTAACCATGAGTTCGAAGTTTGTGAAAACATTCAAGTATTTGTCGTTTGTTTTTGTAATTAAAAGACGTTATTAAAATTCATGAAATTAAAGGCATTTATATTATAGCTTGAAGTTTAAGGAAACATTGTATACATACACGTTTGGTATTTTAAATCTTATCTGAATTATTTTACATGATACTATTGGTCTGAGATATATATTACATTTCAATATTTTTTTAACAAAATAGGCCTATTTCTTGTCAAATATTCTGATTTTTTTTCCTTATAAGATATTTTATCTGACATTTTGTTAATGAGTTCTTTTGTGCTACACTTCGACATATTTTATTGAAAATATTGTATCTCAAGAATTTTGAAATTTTGTCAAGATAATATACTCAGTCTGACATTCAGTCGAAGCAAACTGTAACTGACAATTTGTCAGGAAATATTTTTATTATGTATGATATCATTTCATATTATATTTACCTAAAATTTAATTATCATTTATCACATTTAACTCATCTAAAGATTTTACAAAAAAAAAAAAACTTGCAGCTACATTAGCTTGTGGCATGTCGGTATATTTTATTAGTTAATATATCATTTACACATCCAACTTAACGATCTCTACTAATGATTAATTATAGATTTACACTTCTTTAAATAAATATCAAATTAAAGTATTCTCTTCAAAACTATAAACAAAATTGTGGGTTGCTTCTTAAATTTTAGTAAAGGTTTTAAATAAATAATAAAGTGATCCACGCTTTCTTTTTTGTTATTTAAATAGTGATGCACTATTATATATTTCATGATGGTAATTTATTTTCTACTTTTTAGTGCATAATTATGTAAAGCTTGTTACTAAAACGTTTTTTTTTTCAATAGTTAAAATACTTAATAAGTATAATTGCATGAGTAAAAATAACTGCACACCAAAAAAGCACAAAAAATATATAGGAAATACTAAAACTTCTAAAAAATTAATTAACTATCCAATTATATCAAACTTGATGACATATTGCCTTGTAATCGGATCTTGACCAAAGTACCAATTTTGAAATGAAGGGTTCTATTAGAATAGGCCGAAATGTTTGCGTTTCAGACCATGATGGACAAAGGCATTAAGAACTAAGCACTTAACATGTCAGGCAGAGAAACTAAGTTAAATAAAAACAAAATTTTAACAACCTTTTTTTCAGTAATTCGGCGTCAATATTTATTTAAATATCTTCACCACTGTGAACTTAACAGGCATAAACAACATACATTTTATAACCATAATCATCCGCCTAGATTTTAGCAATACTTTTAAAACTTTTTAAAACTGATGAAATCCACCAAACTATCGAAAAATGAGTGACACATTGGCGAAGAAAGTTCACACAAATTTTAATTTACTCCTGTGTTAAACAAAATGGAATCAAACGACAGTAAAAATAAGATATCGCATAAAAAGTCTGTGCTTTAAACTGTTCTTTCACCTATCCGTATATCCATAAATATATTTTTATTATCCATGTATCCATCAAATAACACCCAATTGAAAAATGTCTCTGAAATGTAAAGACTAGATACAAGACCATCACTAAAAATAATCTAAAATGTTATCCAAGCATTCGTATGGAACTATGTTAATATCAAGAAACCATGTCTAGCATTATTCATTGTTTACTTCATCTTCTTGTGTATTTTTTAAAAAGTATAAATAAAATAAAAACGATTTTTACAGTCCAACTAAATTCAACATAAACATCTTATTAGAATTACAGAGCATATGTTATTATGTTCATGCAAATTACAAAATATTGATAGTTTTGTTTTTTGTTTCTTCATCTGACGTCTTAGGTATGTTTAAAATGTTTTCTAGCAAACATAAATCAATGAAAACAGTTTTCTACCGCATTTTTATTTATTTACCTACGATAATCGACCTAAAGACTTGTTGTTCGTTTAAAAGTTACATCGCATTGATACATTTATACATTTATTTTTTAAGTAAAAACAAGTTTTAGAAAAAGATTATGTAATGTCTGGGGAGATTTTTCCAACCGTACTATCCAGTCTCGTATTGATTTAGTAAAACTTCTAGTCTAGAGTTTGTTAATTTACATTTAAATGTATAAATTGGGTCTATTTACAGCGTCAAATACGCGTCAGTGTAATTTTGTAGTCAAATGTTGCGGTTAACGACCTGACCTGATAAAAAATTCACTGCTTGAGGGCGGTTGTTTGATGCGAAAGTTGATTTGATTCGTGCACAGTTTAAATAATTAAGTGAGGTATATTTTGCTGAGTGAAACTTGCAAGTATACCCAACGGGCGAAGTTAAGCTAGTTTCATTTAGTAGAACCAGACAATAATAGACGTGATATAAATAAACGTAGTTTCTTTTCCAAATTTACAGCCTAATTTTAATTGTGTTGAATGTTAGTGGAATAATCTAAACCTTACATTTCTTAAGTTTAGTTGCCCAAAGTTTGAGCACGCTACGAGCTTAGAAACTGTACTTAAAATGTTGCTAAGGTACGACCAGGAGATACCACGCCTTAAAATAGTATTCAGATACGCTTCGAAGAAAGTAAACATTAAATTTCGAATACAAGAAACAATATGATAAAAAGATGTTACATTTTGAAAAGAAAAAAAACTTCATCTGAAAATGTTGTTGATATACGACTACAACAAATTGCCTCTCAGAATGTTGATATGCTAATTGGCCAGTGTGAAATCATTTAATTTTAATCAAAGAATACGCCTGCTTATAATTAAAGTTAAAAACTAATTAACTATTTACCTACATATATCACACGCAATTTAGCTTATGTTATATAAAAGCCTAATCAAAAAACGATGAACTCGTTTGCAATTTTTTATTTTTATCATCATTTTTCTTAAAAATGTAAAATGTGTTTTAGTCAAAATATATCTTATTACAGCGAGAGATTTCAGTAACTTACACGTTTTCGCTTGTTTCTTTAAAACAAAAAATATGCTCTTAACACTGGTTTCGTTAAATCATGTTATTGAACTATTTAAAACTTTAGACATCGGGAAAACTAAGGAAGTAATGAAAGTTTAAAATGGTTTATTTACCTTTAGAGCATATAAAATGACCCATGAATTAAAAACTAGCACCATTTTTATTTATCTTGTTGCTCTATTTTCATAGTGCATTTATTGATCACTCTATTAACCTAAATCAGAATTCATTCAATTATTCTTGATCTTCATTTTGAATTCCTCTAGCCTTTAATTAGAAAGCTAATTAAAACTTAATAGGATGTTATTTTTTAACAAACACGTAGTTAGTTGGTGCTCTGTATTCCAGGTAGTAATTAAATCGTTAGTACCACATCAAACTACAATGACGCGTCTTGTTAATTTCTAACTACGGGTAAATAATTACATGCTAGTATTCGACCCAACACTGTTCAAATTTATTTTCTTCTTTAATCCAAATAATATTTAGTCAACTGACGGAATCTACTGTTTAAAAAACCTCTCATTATTTATACTCTTTTATTTGCTAAGCTAATTTTAAAGCCAACTGTTTATTTAAGAATAACTTTAAAGTGATAATCATTCTTCATGTCGTACTAAAATTTGAAAGTTTCTACATAAAAATATAATTTGATTTTTGTTTTAACTTACGAGTGAGATCAAAAGTTGATTTTAACACCAGTTACCTTTTATGTCGACTTCTAAAATTAAAAGACCTGAATTTATTGTTAATAATATTTTTATGGTATCTTAGAGCTTGACATAACATCAGATTGAAGTATTTCGTTTGAAACAGTAACTCGTTGTATTTTGCATGTTGACAACACAGTGATTTTATAGATTATCATTGAAATACTTGTTTAAATGTATCTAGATCATGAATGTTAGGACTTTATACATCTTTCAATCAGGATATCTCATGACCAAATTGTAAGCAATAAGTTCTGTTTGTGTATAGTATTTAAGTGCCTGATTAACAGTTTTAGTGAAATAGTAAATAATCTTTAATATCAGAACAGACATGATGCCGGAGGTTACAACAGTCACAGGAATTTCAGAAGACGACGCAAGTAACTACAACCTCGACTCCAGCTTTGGTTTCCTGACCACAGAGGAGCTGATAACCGACGACGTTGCCCTGTTAACGATGCGAGTGTTGATGTACTTTGTCACCCCCGCCATCTCGTCGTTTGGTGTTGTGGGCAACGTGCTGAGCATCATCGTCCTGGCCAAACACGGCATGAACAAAAGCTCCAACATCCTCCTGGTCAACCTCGCCTTCTACAACATCGTCTTTCTCATCGCCTTCAACAGCGTGCCTAAAATTATCTACGAGACTGTCTCCAACCATAAATATGAGGGCTATTCTATTCAAAACACTTATATTTTGTTTGTGTTCTTTTCAATTTTTACATTCTTCGACTATTCGTTCGGTCTGATGGCATCAAGCATGCCAATGTTGATAACAATCGAACGATTGATCGTTATATTTTTTCCTTTATCATTTCATCGCGTCATTACACCCGGCAGAACGTGGTTCGTCGTCGTTTTAGTTGTCGTCTACTGGGTATCGATTTTCATCTACACAAGCTTCTGGCTAGAGATCAATCAGTCGATCGATCCACTAAAGAACTTAACGATAGCACTTTTGCAGAACTCTCCATTATTCTATGACAACCCAGAAACAGCCGAGGCTATAGAAGGTCTATTCGTCTACACAAGCATCCTCATCCCCCCAATCTTCACAGCACTGGGGTGTGTCGTCATATCCATGAAAATAAAATCCGCTTCAGTTAAAAGACAAGCGCTGACGTCCAAATCCAAATCCAACAGCCGCACGACGAAAATCCTGCTGGCCGTGTGCGTGCTGTACGTCATCACCTCCGCCATCTCCTGTATCCCCATGTTCATGCCGGATGACGCATCCTACTCCATGACAGACGACACGCCCACCAACTTCTCCAAGTTGCTGTACCAGCTCCTGAATATTGTTGGTTGTATCAACAGCTCTGGGGATTTTGTTGTTTACATCGTCATGAACAAAAGTTTTAGGGACACTTTACATAATCTGTGTAGCTGTGAGAGGCGCCGATTAGTAAAATAAGCAATCTATAGGAGATGATTATTTCATGTATATTTTCCATTCAGTGAACTATATAATTGTTGTGTATATAAGTCTGTATCGTATACTGTAAGGTGTAAACATAAGAAGGATGTGAACATGAATTAAATTATTAGGCATGGCGATACCTTTACACCATCACATCTAGATATTTATACCATGCTATAAAGTAAAAACATGTTATTATATACTTTACTTTATAGAAAACTAAATGGGGTGCCTGCTAAATTGACGGCGACTATACATATTATTTTTGTCGTTTGTTCGTCATCTACTGCACTATCCAGATATGTTGCGGCCTGTCTCTTCTCGATGCCTTTTGGCCTCAAAAAATTATTGAATTAAAACGTAGTTGACAACACACAGTGAACATAAACTTCACAAACTCTTTCAAAAGAGAGGTTTATTAAGATGAGAATGAGTTAAGCTTTATATCAAATATCTAGGGATTTACAACTGTCTATAGCCAATCAAGAATTTATCACTAGTTCAGTGTTCAGTAACACACCAGTGTTAAGTAGCATAAAGACACTATTATGAACACTCAGCTAGGTCGTTGAGCTTGCTTTATAATATACCTCATCTAGCCTCAATATTAGGCTGTCTCAGGTACCGGTCTGTTTGCCTGAGGGTGTAGCTGTAGCTGTTTACCATTGTTGCGGCCCTGCTAAGGCTGAAGTCTGAGCCGATAGCCGTAATTCCTGACTAAATTATTTTTCAAAGGAGCCAAGTGTAGGTGATATGTAGAGGGTTGTCTATTCAGCAAGATAGTTGTTTCCATTTATTATAGAGTACTCTTATTTTATGCAATTTTTGTTAACATCATGTATATTAAATTGAGGCAATATTGGATAATCGTTAGAATATTTCAAATAAAAAAATGGCACGTGAATTGAAATATTTTTCGGATTATACTATGTGTTTATGTTAACAAGTTTCACCAGTTTAGTTGAGAAATTGTTTTAATATTTGTTTGCCCAGGTTGAAGTAGAAGCCTCCTTGTACCAACGAGAAAAACTGGAACGTACAATACTGTAGTTGTAACATCTGGTTGCAATGTCATAAGAATAAGGTGGTGCGTAAACAGGCAACTTTTATTGCCCCCTCCCTTATATTAAAATTTGCTATGCTTTTTAATAACGAAAATGCGAATAGATGCTCAAACCGAACAGAAATTAAATAGTGTGTATTACAATGACAGAAAAATATGTAGGCCAAACAAGTTCAAAAATACAAATAACACCAACATTTACCGCTGTTATCAGTGCACTTAAAAAAATTGTACAACAACAGTCAAAACATCTCTCTATCATACAAAGAGCCATTCAACATACCTACGAGAGAGTAGGTGATGATACATCACACCTCAGATTACAATATTTTGTCTTTTGTAAATATTGATATTTTTTACAAGTTTTTTCTTAGTTTGTAACGTCTGTTTGTTTGTGGGCGTAAGGAAAATGTTGTAACTCAATTTTGACCAAATTTCAATGCAGCGATTTCGTTCAAACTTTTTACATACGTTCCACTTCGATGACAATAGATGAGTATCTTTTTTGTTTACTTTTATAGGATGTTATAATAATTGATTAAAAATTAATTAAATGGTTTCGAAACTAATAACTCGATAAATTACTATGTTCATTCACGAAAATGGAGATAACTATCTAGACGCGATCACGAGAATGTTTGCAATTGTAGATCAGGTCGACCTAGTGATGGCTAATAGGGACAGATAATACAGTTTTTAAAATATCTGCAACTATGAGGAGGTAACAAGATTAAGAATTTGTTGTCGTCTGCGAAATATAATTACGGATGGCTGCTTTCACGGGAGGATAGTCGTCTTTTAGATATGGCGAGTTATTGATGGTATTTTAAAGCAAATATTTTTAGTAGCGTCGACTTCATAAATTAGTGATAATTTAAAAGTAGAAAATAAAACAAGTATTTAAAAAAACAAAACCTTCATAGCAACAAGCTTTTAAATGCACTGAAAATAAGAAAAAACAACTAATTTGGTTTCTTTCATAACAGCTTTGGTCGCTCATGAGATTTTTTAAACACTTATTTTAGCGTTTTATTTCATATTTTTCTGAGCTTGTCGACACATATAATTTGGGTAAAAATGTAGCTTATTATTTTATTTACAATCAGTAAGAATTTTGAAGGGACGCCAGTTTAATCGTAAGTAAATTAATGTCAAATATTAGTCATCTGGCTAGTTTTTGCAACAGAAAACACTCTAAAATTATTTTTTTTTGGATATTCTAAATCTGGTATGGTGAAAAATCTTTAAAATCAATGCTAAATTTAACGGTATTTTACCATACTTTTTTTAATTTGAAAAAATAAATTCTAGCTGGTTTTCTGTAAAACAAACTAGCCAGCTGAATCTATTAGTAAATGAAGGATCAGTGATTATATGGCCGATATATGTGTTAGTTTATGAAATTTTAGAACTCCACAAAGGTTATCTTTTTAAGATGGCCGCCGTTGCCATGGCAACCATATTTTCAGAAGAGCCCCCTGATGCATGCAAATATTTCCCCTTACGTACTGTTACGGGTCAGTTGTAGGTTAGATTAGAATAGTTTAGAATAGTCTAGAACTAGGGGAGAGTGCATGTGTGAGTGGAGTTCACCTTACTGTGTAGTTACCCTTGTGTGTTTATGTCTTGTAGTCCCAAGGTCAAATGTGGGTATAAAAGGGCGAGTGAACGATTGTGGGGGCAGTCAGGGGGTTAGTAGCGCTTAGGACGAGGGCTGTTCTGATACGCTTGAATAATGCATTGAGACGAATAAAAGTAGTGAAGTTACACACGAAGTGTTGTTGTTGATTTGAAACGAACCCAGAACGTAACACGTACCTTAACTTATATATAAACAAAAAATATAAAAGACTCATATTTTAAGACGTTTTTTCCCCGTTTTTTTTTCCGGAGACTACGTAATTAATGCCGATAGAAATAAGGCTTTATAATGCAGTAAAGTAGAGTTTACATGTTTAGAGAAACGAAAAATCTGTTTATTAACACGCATTTTAAGTTTTACACATAGTGCAGATATTCTGATCTCGCTTTGCTGGCAAATAAACAAAGAGAAAATATAGACATTCAGATAAGTTAACAATGGTGACATTTAGTAGAATATAAACGTGATATTGTTTTTTTAACGTTTTTTATATTAAAATTGGTTTTTAGTATTTTTTTTTTTGTAATTTCAATACTACTAATATGTCTTACAAATGAAATAAATGAACGTCTTGCAAATGAAATAAAGCAAGCTTTTGCAAATGAAATAAAGCAAACTTTTGCAAATGAAATTAAAGCAAACTTTTGCAAATGAAATAAAGCAAACTTCTTGCAAATGTAATAAAGAAACGTCTTGCAAATGAAATAAACGCTCCGAATTGTGTGTAATAAATTAATCATTTACATAGCATTTTTTGGGTACGGCGTGGTCGAATAGTGAAAAGTTATATTGTTTTCACGAAAGTCTCGAGTTCGGATCACGGGTTTGTGTGGGTACTATGTTACTGAGTCCACTCAGCTCTGATGGGTACCTGACTCACGTCATGAAAGTAAAGGTGGTTGGGTATATTGCTGACCACATTACTGCTTTAGAATACATCACCAGCCGCATGGGCTGTAAAGTTTAAAAGGAAGCTTTCTTTTTTATAACATTTATTGATAAAAGGATTTTAATTTAATTAAACATCTAATTACGTAAATTGTATGTAACATCACAACGTGTTACTGACCCACGTGTCACTGTAACAATTTTATAGCAGCGTTTACTCGTGATGGACGAAGACAAATAGCGAAGAAAAACACACAGAGCAATCAAGGTATATACGCTTGTAAAAAATATAATTATGGTACGGCTTGGCCTATCGGAATAGAGCTAGACTGCTAGCTTGAAAGTCATAGTTAAAGTCATTAGAAAGTCCGTGAGTCAACCAAGCTCTGATGGACTGATGGACTATCGTTACCAGACTAATGTTAGGGAAAGCAACGGCGTCTGAGCCTAGTGCAGACCACACTATCACTTCATATGCCGAGGTCTATGAAACAGATGCACTCTACTTCATCTGATGATGAAAAAAATAAATAGGTGTACTTGTCACTGTACAGTAACAAAAAGATACAATATTTTTAAAGTTTCCAACAGCCCTCGTCTAACCCTACTGTATAATCTCGCCCAATTGTTTGTTCAACAGCTCGTTTCTGTTGTACAACACTCTTCTGTAAGGTCGTAGCGAGCACAGTTATTTGTAACAATGCAACAACAAAAAAAAACCTCTATAAATATTTTGACATCAATTTTATTTAAATTCACGGGGCAGGCATTTTCACAATACAAATCTTTACGGGCAGTCTTTACAATCTTAAATGTGTAAACATGCTCTTTCTTCCGCTGAGATAGCAGTAATAGTTTTAACAGTTTGTTTTACTCGTATGAAATTCACCAGTCTTTATCGATAAGTGGATGGCACATCAGTGAAGAAAGTTATAGTGTACAAAATGGAATCAGCTTACAGTAATTATAACCCTGTGTTTTAAACTGTTCTTACACCTATTCGTATATCCATAAATAAATTTTTACTATCCATGTGTCCATCAAAAAACACCGTAAGGAAAAATGTAAGTGAAACGTAAATATCAGACAAAAGACCATCATTAAAAAAAATCTAATACGTTAGTGCCATATAAGTATGGAGGGATGTTAATGTCTCCTAAACAATTTACTGTATATCCTTTTTTATGTCATTTTATGTGTATGTCTTTTACAAGTATAAATAGAATGATAACTTTTTATTCAATCTGTATGAAAACAAAATCATCCTATTAGAGGTACACAGTTTTATAATCTTATGTTTCATTTAAGTTACAAAATACAGAAATTTAAAAATTATATGTTGAAGTTTTCCTTTCGGGCAGCAAAACATTAATCGCACCGACAATTTTCTAGATAACATTA